TCTCTAAATACATTTAGAAGCTTTGTTTCTTAAGAATTTGCTACTAAAAGACATAAATTTTGCAGCATCTATGTGCGTCTTTTCTTACTCTTCGTATAACCTAAACTTTTTGCGTGTCCTTTCTTAATTATGCGATTTCGATTTGTGCTAATCTAGGCTAAGATTTCTTTTCAATAAAAATTCTTTAATTTTAATAGTTGTATTACAAAGCGTATCTCTAAATAAAAGTAATAGCCATAAATTTTTTATGCTTTAATTCATGTTACTATTTACTCTATATTTGTTTACTGCTGCAACTGTAATTTAAGTTATTTATAATCATTGTTTATTATTGATTATAATTTGTGGTTATTGCTCATTTGATGGATCTGATTGACTATTTTGGCATTTGTTGATGTGTGGAATATTAGCAAATAAGCCTTTGTTGGTTTGAGTTTTGGAATATATTTTGCCCTTACTTGTGCATTCCGGTTCCGACGAAATGATTTTTGATTAAGTTTACATTTTATGTTGACTTATTATCAAATGATTTTTTTCGTCTTTACATTTTTTAACTGTTTTGATGTTTCTTTTTAGATGGATTTCAAAGAGTGCAAAGAAACACCGATGAATATGGATGAATCACAACCCATAGATTCAAGTGCAACTTCAATGGAGTGTACAACTGCACCTACCAATAAAGGAAAGCGAAAAACAATAATGGCTAGATCAATGTATAGGATCACTTCTCCAAATTTAAAGATGCAAAAAGAGTAATTAAAGGTAAATGCAACTATTGTAATAGAGAATATAATTGTGATCCAAAAAAATGGCACCACAACACTTAAAATATCATTTGTCTATAACAAAAAAATGACTTCTATCGGAGAATCAAGACAAACAACACTTAATTTTTAATCAGAAAATTCAAGAGAGGGGGGCACTCTTACTACTTGGAAATTTGATCAAGATGCTAAGGATAACTTCAATCTTTATGATTATTGTTGATGAGCTTCCTTTTAAATTTGTGGAAGGGCTAGGTTTTAAATTTTTTATGTCTCTTTGCTGCCTTAGATATAGAATTTCATCTAGGTTCACTATTTCATGTGATTGCTTTGAGAGATATGTGTATGAGAAAGCTCACTTGCAATCTATTTTGAAAAGTACAAACTAAACTGTTTGTCTCACTACAGACATATGGACATCTGTGAAAAGAATTAGTTATATGTGTATTACAGCTCATTATATTAATAGTAATTGGAAATTGAACAATAAGATTTTAAATTTTTGTCCAATTCCTAGTCATAAGGGTAGAGACATTGGTAGAAAATTGAAAGATCTCTATTATACTAGGATATTGATAAGATAACCACCACAACCGTTGATAATGTAAGCTCAATTGATGTTGCTATTACATATCTAAAGGAAAAAGTACCTAATTGGGGTCAAAGTTCCTTAGGATGTGATTCCCTTCGCATGAAATGCATTACACATATTCTCAATCTGATTGTTGTTGATGGATTGAATGATATTAATGGTTCAATTAAAAGGGTTAATGAGGCAATGCGTTATGTGCATCAAATCTTTAACTAGATTAAGAAAATTTAAAGAATATGTTGAACATGAGAAAATTCAAAGTAAAGCTTTATTATGCCCTGATATCCCTACTAGATAGAATTCAACATACCTAATGTTAGAATCAACAATAAAATTTGAGAAAGGTTTTGAGAGGTATGATGAGGAGGATGCTCACTATTCAAATGATCTTTGTACACTTGATCGGCTAGGTGGGGCACCTTTAAAAGATGATTGGAAAAGTGTTAGAATGATGATCATTTTTTTTACAATATTACTACCATCTCACTTTGAAAATTTTAGGTTCCTTATATATCACATCTACCATCTTTTTCCAAGAGATTTATGCACTCTTTTATTGAATGAGCATATTTATTATAAGGATGAGGAGTTGAGCAAAATGACATGTCAAATAAAAACAAATATGATAAATATTGGGGGATCCACAAAAGATGAATAAATTCATTAACATTGCTCTATTCTTGATCCATGCTTTAAATTAGAATGAGTTCAATTTGCATTTGATGATATGTATGATCAACAAAAAAGCGTGGAGAAGGGAAAAAGTGTGAAAGATGTTTTATATTTTTTGTTCACAAAATACAAGAAGAAGTTTGCACCTGAAAATGAAAGTAAGAAAATTGATCAATTGTCTATTACAAGTGAGTCAAATTTGAATCATCCTCAGATGATCAAAAAAATGATGTTACAAGTAGGGCTGCATGTGAGTCGGGTTGGGTTGGGTTTATTGATTTAAAATACTTGACCCATATATGTGGGTAAAATGATTTTTCTGACACAACTCAACTCATTAAATGTATGAACTAGCAGGTTATAAACAGGTTAGGTTAGTTATGCGTTCAATGTAAATCCGCGGGTCAAATAAATGATAATAATAAAAATATTTTTAAATAAAATACAATTATTTAAGAGGAATGACTAAAAAAATTAAATATATTTAAAAACTTAATTATATAATAATTTTCACAAATTATAAATATATACCAATGATAATAATATTAAAATTAAATATCTTAACATGATTATTATTATCATCATCATAATCATAATCAACAATGAAAAATTAAATTTCCTAATAAAAAAGACAAACAGTAAAATTAAAAATACTTAGTAAAGTAATTGTACAATAAGTTTTAGACTATAATATATTCCAATAGCAACAATTCAAAACAAGTTCATATTAAAAAAAAAGCAATAAGTTACAAGGCATATCTACTAAATATGTAAATAATTTAGTATTTATACTTAAAATTGCAAATCAAATCAAATTAACTAAATAATTCATAATTACAAATAGCTGCACAGACACACACATATATATTTATTTATTTGACATTATTTATGGGTTGTGTCGGGTTTGCGGGTTTGTCTAGTGAACCCGTGATCCAACTCAATTGGTGAATCATAAGGATAACCCGCTCAATTTAACCCATTATATCTTCAAACTCGTCAGGTTGGATTGGGTTGCTCAGGTGGGTCAGGTTAGAACGAGTCAGTTGTAGCCCTAGCTACAAAACAAATACCAACAATTTAGGTTCACTCAAATGGATGGAAAATTTACTAAGTCAGAGGTCGATAAATATTTGGATGAAGAGATTGAAGCTGATGTTGAGGGTTTTGATGTGTTAGTTTGGTGGAAGTATAATATTTCAAGATTACATATTCTTACACAAATGGCTTGCAATATTTTTGCTATTCCTATTTCTATAGTCACCTTTGAATCTTCTTTTAGTACCGGAAATAGATGGATTTCGGAGTTCTCTAACTCCTAAAGTAGTACAAACTCTCATTTGCACTCAAGTGTGGATTCGGACTTCAAGTCAGCCTCTTAATGTTGAAGAAGACATGGCTGAACTTGAAAAATTAGAAAAGGATAATGTATTTTCTTAAATTTTTATTTCTAGCTTTTCACTCACATCTCACTGTTGGTTAATATTAATTTACTTTACTCTTTGCAGGAGCTTGAGAGGAACAGAAAGAAGAAGGCTCAATATGTTGAAGCTAAATTTGAATTATTGTTGTTTGAGCTAAATATGTATTTGTTTTGACAATTTCTTTATTTCTTTTAAGTAGATTAGTTCTGTTTTCACCATTTGTATGTTGCTCAAGTTAAATCTGTATCATGAATGAAGTTCGATTAATTTAGTTAAAGTCGGTTAATATTTAAAGTTAAGTTAAAGTTGGTTGATTTAGTATTTTTTTTTTTGGTAAAAATTTCGGTGCGGTTAATAATTAAAATTAATTCCATAAAAAATGAGTTGGTTAAGTTCGCTTAAAAAATTTATTCGGTTAAATTCGGTTAAAGCAAGAAAAAAAAAAAAAAAGAAGTTCAGTTAAAATACTTCGATTAAAAAGGTTACTCGAATTGGTCGAATTGGCAGAATATTCACCTTTATGTTTGATCACTCTAGAATCTCTAACAAGGGGCCAGAATTGATACTCACTAATTATAACAATAGTCGATCCTTAATTGATCTTTATTTTGCTTTTACTTTATTATTGTTATTGGGATATGTGTGATTATCCTAAAATCCTTATCATGAGGCTAGATACAAAACTTTCTATTTTGTTTCAATTTATTACTCGCTCTTATGGACGGAATATTGTTAATTTTAGTCATAATATCTTATATGATCAAGCATATTTTATATGTTCATGCATAATATAAATTGTCATGAAAAGCTATTTTCATATCAAAGCTCAGTTTAATATTGAGCTAATTAATCGGTTGCTTTAGACCGAAAACTTAATCCTCGAATCCTCTTCGACTTCGAGCCCTAGTGCATGTTTTTATTGTGTAGTTTAAGCCAAATTTCAATTCCTTTAATTGAAATGGTGTATAGACAAAATCTCACAATACCATAGTTCAGCCGAATAAAAATACGCATTTTTATGTCCATTTTATCAACTATTGCATCTCATACGATTTTTCACAAGTAATCTTTTTTTTTTTTTAGGATTTTCAACATTCACCTATTAATCAAAATCTATTTGTTAGTTATCATTATCATACTATCATAAAAAGGATGCAAAACTGAGAATTTACAATGAGTATATTTGAATATAGTCCAGAGATTAAATAGTAAATCCTTTATTTAAAAAATGTGGATACTATCTCATAAGTTGGACAATAAGAGTTTTTCAGAGAGAGATAGAACATAAGTAAAATGTTTAAATATAACCATTATGTTTGGATGAAAGAGGGAAAAAAATGGAAAGATAAAAGTTTTAAAATGGAAAAGAAAGTTTTATGTTTGGATATAAAAGAAAAATAAAATTAATTCCTTCCAAAATTGTCGTCCAATTTGAAGGTAAAATTTTGGAAGCAAAATAAGTGTTATTTTCATTATAAAAACAAAAACTGTTTCTTTCCCTTTTCTGTCTATCCAAGAATAGCCTGGCCCTCTCAACTCAACCGCGATAGAAAACTCCCTTAGAAGGATAAAATTGTCAACTCGTAAGATAAAAAAGCAACGGTGTAGCAGTGTGAACACGAAGGGCTGACAAGAATTAATTTGGATTATGAGGGCCACTGGTTCCCTCGCCCACTCGATGGAGCTTCAAACTTTCCGCCCTTTATTTTCTGCAAGTAAGCTTCTGCATCCATTTCTTCTCTGCAATTACACTTCTATGTTTCCTTTTTTGCGTATATGTGTTTTTGGGTTGTCAATTATCATTGTCAACTTGATCATAATCGAGTAACATTCATTATAATTTATATTCATTTGTATTTTGAATTATTAAGCTCTATATATGTTTGGTTGTCTAAAAGTTCTGCTCAGAAAGTAATTATTGGATATATTATACATATCCTCTTTTAATTGAATTTCAAAATTTAAACATATGATTCTTTGGGTAGGAGGGTTATGCATATTGGAAAATTAGTTAGTTAAGACAGTTATAGAAAAAGCTACATCCACTCAATATAGTGAACTCTTGCACTTGACTCAATTAGAAAATTAGGACTGAAAACTTGACTTGTGCTTGGTCTACTTAATTGCTTATATTTGAGCTTGATTTGAAGAGCTAGTCACAATAGTGGAGCTCCGCTAGACTCAACTCGATTTATTAGAACTTCAAAAGAAACTTGTTCACTAATCTCAAATAAATTCAACATTATTTGAATATATAATATAAGATTAATTGTTATTTAAAGTTTTACAAAAAAAGTTAAATACTTCGGATTTCGAGTCATTCTTGAGTCAATCATTGTAATGCTCTTCCTACTTGCTATCTCAAATACTCAAGTTCAAGTTCAACATTCCTTTTATTTCTACAAACTGAAACCTGGATCCTCATGAAACTGGAAAAAGTATTAATTTTTGCACAACATACTTAAAAAATGAAACTGGTTTCTGGCTAATATACTTCTTTTACACTAGAGATCATGTTAGATAATATTTCAGTAAAAAAGCAGTAGGTAGAAATGAGTAAGTGGTATTTGGAACTAAAAATTCATGGAAACAAGTTAAAAAATAAAAAAAAGAAAAAAGAAAAAACCTTTATCATTTTATTGTGGGAGAAGCGTGCAGTTTTGGCTGACTTATATAATTAACCAACATTCATGGTGATTTTGCTAAAATTTTAAAAGTTTGACTAAAGTTGAAGGAATAAATTACAAGTTTATATGTATTATGGCCCTTTATTAAAAGAAAAAGGAAAATAGAGATGCAAAACGCCCTAACGTTTAAAGCATCCAAAATTCTAGAGGAGTACAAGAGTTTATAAAAAGGACGCAAAGTTCATTTAAGATAAAAATAATGATAAGAACTTTTTCCTTGTGCTTAAAAACTCTCCAAGCATTCTTTGACTGCAGATACCATTTAAAATTGTAGGCAAACCTTTGCATGCTAAATCCCTTCTAACCCTCGATGGATGTTTTCCATGTCTCCTGAAGTTTAAGCAATGCATCTAGCATATTTCAAGCACCTTCTTGTTGTAGGTCATATGTCGAGTAATTGGAATTGATGGGGTCCATTTACAATAGGTTCATACATAAGAGTTGGAACAAGTTCCTTCTCATGCTTATACATAAGAGTTGGGTTAATACTCATGTGAAATAGTATCTCTTCCCTCACCAACGACTGTCATATCTCAAAGTCCTTTTAATATTCGATTTTAACATGGATTGATAATTCTCAACAAAAATCATTATGTTCTGTTTTAAGGGAACATGTTATTCTCAGTACAATCTGATCCATGCAAGTGGAAGAACTGTCAGAGGATTGATGTTAGTACTGAATTTGTAAGGCATAGGCACTTCCAGAAGCAGGCAATAGTATGGAGGAAACACTGCTCAAAAAGCATTGGAGCTTCTATTTCATGTTCATATAGTTTTGAGAAGGATCCAAACCTACCTTCTATTCAAAAACTTACTGATGCACGAGTGATGTATAGTGTAGCTCCTGCTATGGGTCATAACCAGGTATGTTCAATTTAGTTCCGTGCTTTCATATGGATGGACTGATATGTCACTTCTTGAAATCCTAATGGATTTCAGACTTTCATCTTTGTAAGTTTTGAAATTTTGAATTCAAGGACACGTTTTGCTGGATCAGTTGGCCTTGGGACCTGGGGGTTCATTTACATACAGTAACAAATTTTATTCATCATTATCAAATTTAAATTAACAGAAGTTGTACTTTTCCAAGGATTTGGTCTCACCTTCACTGAACTAAACATTTTAGTTTGGCTACCCATTGTCTTATGCATCTTCTCGCTTTCTCATCCTTTTCTAAAGTGGGATTGCTACCCAATTCATACGTCTTCAACAGTTTTCTTTATATATATATATATTTTTTTAACACAGTAATGGTTTGGCTTATCTACATAATATGCATCAATTCTAACTTATCCACACCTCAAATGATCAAGTTGAGATTATTATGCAAGTGTTGAAATTTGGTTTAACTCTACAATTGTCTCTTTGTTCTCCCACATAATGGATTGTTGAACCAACTTTGATAAAAATGCTGGAAACTTCAAGATGTTCAAAAAGGTCTATATATATAAACTACAGTATTTCTGTATTTCTATTTGCTCAAGGAGGAGATTATCCTTGCTTAATTTTCACACTTTCAATTTGTTAGTCCAGCATTCCACTTTTCTGGGATGTCCAAAATATTTATTGTCTCGCCAGGTCAAATTTTAATGTCCTATGGCTTCTCAATTTATGACAAGAAATGTGAAAAGTAAAAGTAGTCTCAGAACATTTAAGATTACGAAATATTAGAATGCAAGCAGTTAACAGTTTGATGTTGTGGAACCTAAAGAGAGGACTATTTAATATGTATGGAATGGAATAACTTCTTACTTTACTCATGGTGTAATATGCATGTTTGAAGTTTGTCTTTCTTCTTCTTACTATTTGTATTTTTATTGCACTATTTTCATTAGGAAGCACATCCGGAATCCCATCTTAGAGTTCCTGCAATTGTGAGTGCCCTTGAAAAGATGAAGCTCACTTCAAAGGTATCTGGAATTACATGTTATTACTATTTCTTGTTTATTTATTTATTTATTTATCTCAATACTTGGTTGTATTTAATTATTATGCCAGTTCCTTTTTCTGATTTGAAGTTCTCTTCACTTGGTCTTTATTTTTTATTATTCCTGTACTTCAATGTTTACTAGGAACTCTTAACAGAATTGTGCATTTTGGGATCACATGTTCAAAGGTTTCTACATTTATTTTAAGACATTTTCGTAAGACTTCTTGCAGTCAAGGTAACAACTACAGGCATGGCTAGCTCCTATAGTAAAATGGATGGTTGTGTAAATGGCCTGGGAACTAATTCACTGTTTTATGGCTGATCGGTGATTACTGGAGATTCCAGCTTCAGGTAGGCGAGTTGCAACTTGCAATCCAAACTAAGGACAGGTTTTGTAGTTAGCTCACCCTCATAGGATTGTGACCTTTTGTCCCTGCAATTATAGTATGTGTCAATCAGCCAAAATAAACATGAGTGACCACATTATAAATTTCTTCCTCTTAACTGAACCTGTAACTTTTATTTCCAGATATATTTTCTATAATTTACCTGATCAAACTACAGTTTACCAGGGAACAATGCATAGCACTAATAGGGAGTCACCGAATATACCTGCTATGCCTAAAAAGTGAAATGTATTAGTGAGAGTCTATAAATGCATAGGAGTATAATTCTTTTAGTTTAATTTTTCAGTTGATCAAAGTACTAGCTGAGTTTTCCTTAGAGAATGTGGACTAGTTTGTAGTCCTTTTCGTAAAGGATTAGGAGTTGTTTTTAAGCCATTTTTGTAAAAGATCAATATTAATTTGTCTATAAAATAAGACTATGAGATATGTTTTTTTGTTTTTTTTTTTCCTTTCAACCTTGTGTGATGCAATTCAACCCCAGATATGATGCCATGCGACCCTTGCTGGTGATGCCTAAGGAAGTTTATATGCAAAGACTAAATTCTTCAATTTTAACTATTTCCACATTATTGTTCATTGGTTACTAATTCACGACTACTGTTCACAGGCCCTTTAATTCCTCCACAGACAGCCCCATAATGCTTCCTTTTTTTTTTTTTTTTTTCTCCACAGACAGCCCCATAATCCTTCCTTTTTTTTTTTTTTTTCTCCTTTAAGCTATTCCAATACAGCCCTAATTGTTTCCTGACATATTGCCACATTCTAGCCTTATAAATTCAAGAACAGCCGTAATAACAAGTTCTAATGAATAATTTTTTTCACTTTTTTTTTTTTTTTTCTCCTTTAAGCTATTCCAATACAGCCCTAATTGTTCCTGTACATATTTGCCCATTCTAGCCTTATAAATTCAAGAACAGCCGTAATAACAAGTTCTAATGAATAATTTTTTTCATATTTCAGTTTCGTGGCTCAGAAGTCATTGAACTTAAAAATTTCAAGCCTGCTTCTGTGAACGACATTGCAAATGTTCATTCGAAGGCTTATGTTGCTGGTCTTGAGCAGGTAACATTACATTGATCTGGAAATGTTCTTTTCTCTTCACCTGTGTAGAAAGTAGAATCCGAGAGATTAGTCAAACATATGTGTATAGAAACTAGAGTATTTGTAGGAAGATTTGAAGGAATTTATGGATTTACTTCCTGAATTAGGAACACCCTTGTACATATAAAGTTAGCTTTGTTCAATGCAATACACAGAAATATAGAGAATCATTCACAGAAATAACAACCGCAATCCTTTTGTTTGGTTACTTTGGTCATATGCAAGATGATAACAGTCCAAGCTTAAAGGTGAAAGAACCAATCAAGCTCATTGGAATCCCCTTTGTTGTTTCAGTCATATTTGATGTTTTCATACCTTCTACCAATGATTAGACAAGAGAGCTCATTTGTTAAAGAAATTGGGTTGATCCTGAGATGAGTACACAGACAGACATGTGTACATGTTTGATAGATTACTTTAAAATTTTGGCAAATTTGTTAGATTCACATTAATTGCTAAATGAAACATAGATTGATGACTCGGTGCCATTCTTTTAGCATAAGTTTCTGATTTCAAGTCTCAGGTTTTGCAATTTGTGGTTTGTGTATTGATCTCAATATCTTTACCTGTTGAACTGTTTTGCAAACTTTTTCAAAAATGGGTTTGGCCATGAACAGATGTAACACTAACATGAACTGGACTTGTGACTGGTTTCTGGTTAATGAGTTTGACCAGAAGGTCCTGCCTGGTTTTGTAAACATTGGTTCAAATAGCCTAAAAATGGCCATAAGTATCTTTGCACACAAAGTATGCCTAGGTGTTTGGTCGTGTGACTTTGAGATGGTAAAGACGGAACTAGACTTCACAAGTTGGTAAGGCAAAAAATATGGATGAAAAAGAAAAAGAAGAAAAGAATAATTATGGTTATGGGATAACATGAACATCTTTCAAATTGGTTATACATAGGAAGAACTCTATAAAATATATGGATAACAAAGTCAAATAGAATTTGAAGGCTGCATGCATGCTTCTAGAGAAAAAGTATGAAACACATGAACAAAAAAAAATTTGAAAGGCTTGGTGGAGGTGGGGAGAGGGGGGAAATATACGTCTCAAAAATGTATAAAGTAATATGGGTTACTAAACAATTTTGAAAAGTCTGAAGAAGGCCGTGATCCCCAACCTAAAATGCTGCCATTGCTTGCAAGGCAAAATATTGATAGAATTTCTAACTCTATAATCGTTTCTTATAGGCAATGGATAAGGCTTCTGAAAAGGGCATTATTGTCATTGATGGAACAGGACCAACATATGCTACTGCCAGTGTAAGTGCTCTGTTTTTTTTATTAAGATTTATAAAAATGTTATCTTTTTCTTTTTAGCATCTACAATTTTCTCTGCAGCTGATAGATGTATAAAGATACATCTTGTACTTTGACCATAATCCTTTTCTTTTTCCGAAGTAAGAATACAAAAGAAAAAGAATATGTCTATAAAGTCTTCAGTTAAGCTATAAAGTATGTTTTTTCTGACGATGTCTGGTTTGATCACAATAACAAAATTCATATGAAGTTATATGTTCTTTATTCTGCTTCTGATGAAGGTATTAATGATGCAGACATTCCAGGAATCACTTTTGGCCGCTGGAGCAGGACTAGCCTTGGTTGATTCAGTGGTGATGTCTCAGTCTGGCACGTTAGTCCTTTTTTTTTCCCCCTTTTCAGCAGGCTGAAAACATTTTAATTTACTAGATAAAATTGGATTTTATTTTTTTCCCTGAATGATAAGAAACTATTTTTCTATGTTGCATCAAAATAGATTTGATTTTGAAGCTACTCATATTTGCAGAGACATGGTGATTAGAGGAACTCAGTCTAGTAATACGTCAATCTGAATGTTTTATCATATTTCAGGTTGCAGTATCAGCAAAGAGCCAGAATCCACCTGCTGGATTTGCTTTGATAAGACCTCCAGGACATCATGCTATTCCAAAAGGGCCTATGGGCTTTTGTGTTTTTGGTAATGTGGCTGTTGCAGCACGCCATGCTCAACTTGTGCATGGATTAAAACGAGTCTTTATAATTGATTTTGATGTTCACCATGGGAATGGGACCAACGATGCATTTTATGACGATCCAGATATATTCTTCTTGTCCACTCACCAAGTAAGCAATGTTCACCTCAAACATGCTTTTATTCATGTTATTCACATCACATGTGAGATTTTGTATTTTGCTAGATGAAATTAGCTGTATCTTATACAGAAAATTTGGGATCGAAGTATTCTAATTTGTTCTTTTCTGCCGAACTATTGTCAATAGAGATTTACACTATGGTTGGTTCAATTCCACAAACCAACATTTTGTATAATTCAATTGAATTCCATATTTTAGCTGTTTGCTTTTACTAAAATGCAAAATTAAATTTCAGGAATTCAATCATGTGGAATTGATTATAACTAAAACCAAACTCTATCAAATTTGATAGAATTTGAAATCAATTTTTGTAAAACTAACATAACATTGTTTATAGGACTAAATACCCTTATAACATATATAATATATTTTTCTTTATAATCATTGACCATTTATATTCTACTTTTAATAATAATTTTCAAGAAGCCATATTCCTTCAAATTATTGAACATTTACAATTAAAATAGATTATTTACTAAAATAAAAAAAAAAATAAAAAATACCAGATATTTAATAGTAACAAAGCTAAAGTATATTATTCAAAAGTTAGCTTCTTTATTAATTTTCAATTACTTCAAATGAATAGTAGGTAGCTAACTAATTAAGACCAACTAATGATAAAAGTCATTGGCTAAAGAAGAAGATGGAAACCACAAATTACTTTTCTATTTATTATTAATATCTCTAGACAATTATGTTAGATATTTTATTTTAATATCAACTATTAAATATCTAAGTTTATTATGCACTTATCAGTAACAATATTCATCTTGTTATATAAACCTCCTATTTATAAGGCATATGAATTAATTTTATATGTATTAGTAGATTTTTTTTTTCAGATATCAATTTCTTTTTTCTTTTCACATATCAAATTTATTTCTATATTGTTGATTGGTCTATATAGTTGCTAATCATTATAAATTTATTAGATATAAGATTGTTTTACTTGTGTTAAAAATTATTGTTTCTAAATAATTAAGTTTGAGGGTAGTTTAGGAAATAAGCACAAATGAAATTCAATTATCGAATTATACCAAACAGCCATAATGTGGAATTCAATTGAATTCTGCATTTCAGATGAATTCCACGAGCCAAATAGAATTGAACCAAACACTATGTTAGACTCTTATACAAAAATTTCAAACCAAATCATAATGGATATGTTAAAAATTTCAACCTTGTAGTATTATAAATTCAGTTTTTATTCACATCCATAGATTGGTTGCTAGTGGTGATGAATAAATTGCTGATCTGCTACTTGAGGACTAAGGATGATGAGCGTCAAGATGTTGTAGACGCGTTTGTAGGAAGACATATGGCAGGCGCGGGAAGGGAAGTAATTTGTTCAGAAAAGCACAATAAAACTTGGAATCCAGATTAGTAAATGATTCCTTAGGTTACATAGTTTATTTCTACTAGTAGTTTATTCCTATTTAGAATTGGATTCCTAAAGAAGCATTGTAACCTCTATTTAAAGAGCTGCTATTGCTATCAATAAAATAAGTTAGAATCTTTTCCCAACATGAGATTGGAGCTCTCTCTAGCAAGATCCAAAGGTGACAGCGCCCTTTTAATGAGCTGCATCTTCCTACACAAAATAGGTAGATCACATAATAAGAAGACGGGCTCAAATCCCTTGTTTGAGAAACAGTATGTAATACATTGCCCTGTGACACGATCCCTTACCAAGGAACATAACAGAAGGATAAACTTTTTCTACTATAATTTGGTATTCATTTCTTTGGTTCTCCCAAGTTTGCTTCTGATAATTTTAGGTTGAGCTTTTTAGGGAGGGAGAATGATACAAAATATTTTCCTCTGGTAGGTGTAGTCTCATTGCTAATTGTTAACCACCCATCTTGGAGAGAAGGATCATGTTGCAACTATTTTTCTTTGTTTAGCCATTCTACTAGTAGGAACTTAGATGAGTAGTTTTATGTTTAGTTTTGGCCATAAGCATTGGAAGTGTGAGGCAAGATTTGCTAATAAGCCACTATTCAATTCCTGTTCTGTTATCTGTTTGCATAGGATGGAAGCTATCCAGGCACTGGTAAAATTGATGAGGTAGGTCATGGAAATGGTGAGGGTGCAACGCTAAATCTACCTCTGCCAGGGGGCTCAGGTGACAATGCCATGAGGACTGTGTTTGATGAAGTCATTGTGCCGTGTGCTCAGAAGTTCAAGCCAGATATAATTCTCGTTTCTGCTGGGTGAGTAGCTGTCCTATGAATTTCTAGGCTTGCTTGAAGAAGAAATTAGCTTCATTACATGCCCTGTTTTCCCTTGTCTATTATTTAAAAGAAAAAAATGCAGCGTGTAGCTTGCATCAATTTAGTAATTGCAAATATATTTCTCATTTCTTACTCTGTAGCATTTTAGTAAAATCATCATAGTGCTTAATTTCCAATTTAAATTTTGTGATACATGCTCGTAATACATATAAATGCTTCGTTTTCTATTGGTCTACCATTTTCTAAATCGGGAATCTGGTTAAACTGGAAAGGTAACAAACATTTGATGTTTAAAAAGCAAATAGACTAAATTAAACATATCTTATTCAATTTTTTTTTTCTCAGGTACGATGGTCATGTTTTGGATCCACTAGCCAGTCTACAATTTACAACCGGAACATACTACATGCTGGCCTCAAATATTAAACAACTCGCGAAAGATCTATGTGGGGGCCGTTGCGTATTTTTCTTGGAGGGAGGATACAACCTTGATTCTCTTTCATATTCAGTGGCCGACTCATTCCGAGCCTTCCTTGGGGAGAAAAGCTTGGCATCTGAGTTCGATAACCCTGCCATCTTGTATGAAGAACCATCAGCAAGGGTGAAGCAAGCAATTCAAAAAGTTAAACACATACATTCACTCTGAATGATGATAATTTCTTTACATGTATGCATGTGTTCCAATCAGCTGGATAGGCAGTTAAACTTCTGTGTGGGCTACAGTAGTCGGGGAAACCGAAGATCAAGTATATACTCCGGCGATAAGCTGGTTTACAGACTTCTGCAGGAGATGATGTTATTGTAATATTATTATCATCATGATCGTGAATGGGACCTGCCATTCTATTTATACTCGAGTGATATATATTATTACAAGCACCGTTTGTATAATACCAAAATTTCTTATATATTTGTAACTTCTGCAGCCCGTACAGTGTTGTCTAAAGATGTCAAAATGAGTTGGGTGTCGGATTCGATAAAGATTCGTCTAATATGCGACACTATTAGGATCAAAATAAACACAATCCATTTAATAATCACATTAAATTTATTAACGCGACACAAAAATTAGGCAGATAACTTGTCTAATATCATAAGCAGGTTATTTGGGTCGTGTTGATCCATATACGACCTATGTAACTTGCATAATGGGTCGTGTTTATCTGTATATGACATTCTTAACCTACTTATGATATTTTTAAATTTTAATTCAAGCCATATTTAAAAATAAATATTCATACATAAAATACATATATTCTTCATAAATTCATAACTAAAATATAAAAAAAATTAATATAACAATAAAGTTTAAATAGTATTTTAGTTGGAGTATTTATATCTGATACTATAATCATCTCTTTACATTAAAATAAATAAGGGACTCTCGTAACCCGCGTGTTGATCCATGACAAGATATATCATAAATGTATGATTTGTTTATAAGACGAATCCGTTTAACCTTAACCCTAATTCATTAATTTTGCCCGTTAAGTGAATCATATTCGTGTGTCATAATATAATTTGACACTCCTAACTATAAGCCTATTCACGTGTCATAATCTATTTTGACACTCCTAACTATAAGCCTATTCACGTTTGAAGCCTTAAAAAAGGATTTGAACTCTTTGGCCGTGTCCATTGTATGGAATGGAATGAGAATGAGAATGAATTTATGACACTCCTAACTATAAGCCTATTCACGTTTGAAGCCTTAAAAAAGGATTTGAACTCTTTGGCCGTGTCCATTGTATGGAATGGAATGAGAATGAGAATGAATTTAGGCTATGAAGGGTTGGATGTAATCAACTGTGATGAAATGATGATTACATTACTGAACTAAGTATAATATTTGAATGAATTTAAATTTGGATTTCGATTGTGCTCCTCATTACTTAAAATGTTAGAATATTCATTACATTATAAAAAAATTTATATGTTTTATCCATTATATCAAGCTACTCTACCGTTTGGATTATCCCACGTGATTGGCTTGTTAGATTATATGAACATGTTTGATGCCATGAAAGACTAAAACTTGTTACCCAAAAACGAAAAGAGAACCTTGAGACAGGAACAACCGGCCACGAATAAACAAAGACCAATAAAGAGAAGTTGGATAGAGAAATTGCAGAAAGAATTTGATCCCTGTAAGTAAAAAGTAAATGAAAACAAATCATAAATTAACTTTATAAATCCTTTTTCATTATTTTTAATGCAAGAAGTGATTTGTAAAGCATCAGTATCCGAGCCCCCTATTAGAGATCGCCTAATTCGACAAGCTCTTCGCAAGTGCATTTAGTGAGAATCGAACTTGAAAGCTCCTCCCACGTGTCCAGCTTGAGTTGCCAACTAAGCCAGAACCTGTAAGTGATAGTTTCCACTAATTTTATTTTCTACATTTCACAATATTTATCTTTTCAAATAAATGTTTCCATAATATATATATATATATATATATATATATATATATATATAAAATGTGGTATTTTATCTGAGGGATTTCTGCAAAGATAAGTTTGATAAAGGTTTTAGTATCAAAATATAGTAGAATTGAATTGAACCATTATCTAAAGAATTAGGTGCTAAAATAAAAAGTATAGAATTACTAGATATAATTTCGTCTTATGATAATATTTTAATTTAATACGTTTTGGTGGTCTAATTTTTTAAAATATTTTATTTATACAAAACTAACTATACCAATTAATTATTCAAATCTAAATTAAATGAATTCGTTTGAACTTTCACGTAAAGTCATACTATACTCATAATTAAGTATTTTAGTTAGAAATAGGCTCAATACCTATAACTAATTAAGGGATGTTTAATAATTTTCAAAATTTACATTGAAAAATAATTTAATAAAATTTTAAATGATTTAATAATTTCAAATCTCTTTCAGATCTTTTAGAATTATTAGGAGTTCCAATTTAAAATCAAATACATATCTTTATAAAATCTATCCTTTATGAGTTTAAATTGTATTTATATGTAAAAAATTTATTTAATCACGTTGAAATTAAATGTCTAATAATTTAAAATTTTAATGTTGTTATCTAAATTATTAGATATCAATCACAAGCCATCAATAATTTTATTTTAAAAATTAATATTTAATTAATATTTACTTAAAAATAATTATTTTTCTACTTAACTTTTGAAATTTTTGGCTTTATCGTTTTATTTTTATGATTAGATTACTTAAGATTAGGGAAAAGTGAAAATTCAATATATATATATATTATATATATATATATAATATTATATATATATTTAAAATTTCTTTTTGCTTCTGTGTATATATATCACTTATACTTTTTCTAAAGTTTTTGAAAAGTCTATATAGAATATTTTAAATTTTCTTTTTGCTTCTGTGTATATATATCAACTTATACTTTTTTCTAAGTTTTGAAAAGTCTATATAGATTGTGAAACCATATATACTAAATAATTTATAAATTATAAATAAATTAAGAACTAAAAGTATAATATACAGTAAAAAAGTAAACCCCGCATTGCCTAGTTTAATTTAAAAAGTAAAAGCAAAATAATGATTTAATACAAATGATGACAATGTCGTAACATAATTATCTTTATAGTTTTTATATTATTTTTTCCACTTTTTCTCAAAAAATTTTATTGTTCAAATTATAATTTATTAAATATAACAAAAAAAAAAAAAGCACTAAAGAAATCCTCAATTTGGGTATAGAGCTGAACTATATGCGATTTAGGAGGCTAAACTTCTTAAATTCAATTTGTTTCCCCAAAATTTTATTTATATTTTTTAAAATGTAACTATTTGCTCTCAATGTTTGACATATAGCTCTATTCAGAACACAAACATGCTTGTTTAATCGGCTTCTTGTGGTTTTGTTAGATTGTATTTTTGTTTGTTATATTGAAGTTTTACTTTGTTATTTTCTTTCCCAAGTGTGAACCAGATGCATACAAGCAAGAAAATTATTACTATATTAAGAAAATTTGGATTAAAGGGTGAAGGAGTGATGGTGGTGAAGTGATGCAATTGTTGGTGGAAGTGCTAATGTGCTAATTACATTATATATTAACAAGGAAAAATTATATTCGTGCCACTATGTTTTAACAAAAAGAACTACTCCACCCCTGTATTTTTTTAATTAGACTACTGTACCCTTGCATTTTTAATCCGTTGCACCATAATAACCTTCCATCCATTTTTATCAATTTTGTGAGGAAGTCAATGAAATTCTTAACAGTCTAAAGAGAGAGAAGCTAATATGTTACAAAAATACCCTTATACAGCGATATTATGTCTTTAAATCAATAAAGTGAGTGAAATAAAGAGGAAAAAGTTTAAAAAATAGGAAGAAGAAATTTGATTGGGGTTTTGCAATGTCTGGGAGGAGTAATTCATCTTCTAGCGCAACGGATTGCGGAAATGAGGGTAGATTTCTGAACTCTCTTTGCAAATGCGGGAAGTAAGCTGGGATCAGGATTTCCGAGACAAGCAAGAACAAGAACAGGCCCTGCTATTTTTATAAGAATAATGAGTGTGGCAGCTTCCTTTGGTCGTGCAAGCTAGCTGAATCGTGCATTGAGAGCACTAGGGAGACAAGAATGGCTAGAGATGCAATGGAAGTTGAAAGTTTTAAAATGAAGCTAAGGAACAACATTGTAAGGGATCTACTTGACCTAAAAGATGTTGTGCGCCAGAATGATGAAAATAGGCGTATTCAGGGCAAGGTTGATGGGCTGGATTCTGTCATTGGCTACACGAAGATTGTCTTGGCTCTATGCATGACATGCACTGTAGTGAATTTCATCCTTGTTCTGTCTGTGTTTTGCAAGATAGGTTAGATGGGTAGCTCGGCATTTTTGGCTTATTTTTGGTTTTAGTTGAAAATGTAGCTATTGTGAACTATTAGTTTGTGTGTGTGTGGCGGGTAGTATAATGGTGGATGTGTTAGGAGCGAATGGTTGGATAGTTGACAGTTAATGGTGGATGTAATGACCCTTTATTGATGCAAGACTATCTTTTTGTTTGAAATGATATTCTTCGCTCTCTTTAATGATATAAAACTTGCAACATCTACTCTCTTTAATGATCTAAAACCTCCAACCTATTGTAAACCTGCTTATTAATGCATCAATTTGGATACAAAACCTACTCCAAACATCAAGAATATTGTGTATGTAAAACACATTTTCTGCAACTTTTCATTGAACAAAAAACAATGTTTCATTACATATTTGCCATAAGAAATCTAGAACAACATTTTCTCTAGATTTCTGATTACAAATTATTATGAATAATCATCCCAAAAAATATCAATCTATGCACATTATAGTATTTGTACAAAATTTACATTGTAGCAAACAGTTCCTATGTGCACATTATAGTATTTGTGCAAAATTTACATTGCAAAAAAAAGTTCTTATATGTCAAAAAACCAAAATATCCAAACTCCTATTGTCCATGGTTCTGCTCGTAATGTGCAGTTTCTGCATTGCTCCCTCCTCTTTCTCCTGATCTGGATCTAGAAGCACCTGTAGTCCTTCCTTTCCTTCTCTGTGACTACAAAATGTGAAGACATCCGTAAGTTTTTGTAAAAATATTAGATAACAATGAGTGCTTAAGGCATAAATTAGTTGACATACTTGTTGGTTTGACGGAGTCGATGTGCAAGTCCTCTTATTATGCCCTAACTGACTGCACTGCTTGCATCTTACTGTGCTTGTCCTTGTGCTTCTAGTTGCGAGAGGCCCTTCACCATCTTTCCTAATTCTCCTATTTTTTGGGCCTACTACCCTCTTTCTCACCTCAGGGGGCTAGATCTTCTCTGATTCCTGAATTCCTTCAAAGTTGGGTTGAGGCATTGGATGTAGGTGGGCTGAGTATGTCTCCACATATTTCTCAATAGTGAAAAATGGGTCACAAAAATCCTC